ATCTTTCTACCCTTAAATAATAATACAGTGTCCAACACTCTGCATTACTCAGATACAATTTTTGAGAATTCTGCAAGTTCTTGGCAGTAGACTTGGAATAAAACCTTGAAAAAGACAGGCTTCAGGAAACAAAACCTGTATGGCATCTAGAAATAGCCCACATGAGAAAGAGCTGCTTTCAAGATTGGAAATGAGACTGTTTAAAGCCAAAAATGATAGCTCTTTTGCATATTTCAAGATCTTTCACCTGCGAAAGCTGGTAAACTTGCTTTGTGCTCCTCCAAAGGCCATAATTAGGACCAGTTAATGGAACTTATAGGATAGATGGTGGCTCAATATAATGAAAACTTTCAAATAAAAACAGAAAGCATTCTTAAACTGGACTGCCTGGAAATGTAGTGATATTCTCGTGACTTGAAGATTTCCTGCCCACTCGGAGGGTAAAAGTTCACTTTTCAGGATGTTATTTTTAAATGTTCCTGTATTAACTGGCAGGTTGAATGAGATCGTTTTGAATATCTGTTGCGATTTGGAGGTTTTGTATTTTTCTGTTCTTAAAAAACTTTTTTTTGTTGTTTTTAAAGATTAAGACATAACCTCTATTCCTAATCCCCTTGGCACTCACAAATCATTTGATACTTGCACATTTAGGACTGATGATTTTCTGCATTACAAAGATCATTGTCTGTGTTTATCTCTATGTCTGTTTGCTTCTGTTTTGATGCATATCCATTTGTCTGTCTATGACCTCTATTAATCATAAACTTCTTGAGATTAGAAATTACATTTTAAAAAACTCTTTCAACTACCTTAATGCCAGTCCACTAATTTCATAATATTGTCTGACGACAATGGACACATTCAAGTCAGAGAATGCAATCTGCTTCTGTGAAGATTTACAGTCTTGGAAACCCCCAGGAGCAGTTTTCCTCTGTCCTGTAGGAATAGGTCAGTTCTCCTGTCTACTATAGTTCTACTCTCTCAATGGAAGAGACTTGATGGATGGCAGTGAGTGTGGTTTCAGAGTCTAAGCAAAGAGAGGAGATGCCACAAATTCCTTTCTTACCACCTTTATTGTTAGAACATCGTCTTTACATTTGAATCTAATTTCACTTCCTCCACGCAATGTCCCCTTACACAGATACCATCCTGACCTCAAGATTTCTTTATAAACCCCCGATAATAATCCATCAGTGTTCTATTATAAGACCAGAAAGACACAGTTTGAGTTCAGTCCAAAAGCTAAATTAACAGATTGTTCAATCCCTGGTTCTATACCCAGAACATTTTCTCCAAATAGGATGGATTCCTTCCTGTTGAATACTCCTCCAAGAAGTCTTCTTAGTTTGTCTTCAACAATTCTGATTGTGCCTGTTTTTTGTTTACTTTGCATATTAAAGCCATTGAAATCCAGGATTTGACTTTTAGAGTGGATCTTAACAT